TTTATTTGCACTTCAAAACTCTTCATACGAAATACAAACGATTTAAAATAATAATTTTTACAACCGGAGGTTTTGTCCGGTCAAGTACATACGAATCGCACCCCTCGTTACTTCTATCATGATTATATGAACCAAATATCGATTTATCATCTCCATAGCCTTGAAAAGTAGACGTTGCTATGTAGTTTACATCCACTTTGTCAGAGGGCAGTAGTGCGCGGCAGCATTTTGAGGTTACAGGTTTTGGGTCATCATGTCCTCTCTCAGGTTTCTCTCTGTCCAAACTATATCGTTGGTCATCGTTGCACGTGCCAACCAGTGCCAACGTGTGCACGCCTTGTTTGAAATTCGTGGCGGTGAGAAGTGAGGTTACAAATCTATTAATTTGGAACATAAGCAAATTCGAAAGGAATATCATGGAAATCGAGTCTGTTAAGAAGAATCGTCTTAAAATGAAATCGAAAGATAAAGCCATGAGCACGAATAAGGACCATAAGGACGAAATTCAGATACAAATACGTTTTATAACTAAGCAGCAGCAGTAAGAATTTATTCTTTCCTTTTATTGTTCGATATTTGTTCATAGTTTATTATTTTTCATTTTAACAATTCTAGATTTGCAGTACCAGATTTTCCCTTATCGGTCCATAGCTCGATAATCACCGACGAATTAAACACCCTGATAAACGAACTTCTGAGAGGTGAGGAAGACTTAAAGGAAGTCGCTTTGATATGTTGTACTATTTGTTTCCTTATTTCCTTCTAAATCATTCGCAATTGTTAAATCTAACATGTTATACTAATATTAAAGTATGCTTTCTAGTATATATAGATATGTATTTTTTAAATTAATTTTATGAATTATATAGAATTATCTAATTAATTATGAAAAAACTTTCTGATCATTTTGAAGATTAAATTGATTTTTCACAGAGTCGAATGATATCCAAGACCAAGTGGAATTTGATTTTCTGATATGCTCACAGTTTCTACGTAGCTCTTTGATAGAACACATCACTGATAGAGAAATTTCTACAGAGGATGTGATAGATATAGAGTATGTGGAAAAGCATCCTTCACCAGAGCCAAAGGATTGCCTGATACATGACGATTGGGTATCAGCTGTTGCTGTTTGTGGAAAATGGTTGGTATTTAATAATTGAGACAATTACAAAAACGATTTCAAAACATATTTTTGTCTAATTGGAGTATTAATCTCGAATGATTTTATTTAGGATTCTAACTGGTTCTTATGATAATATGCTACACATTTGGACATTAAAAGGCAAGCATCATCTTGTGATTCCTGGACATATATCTCCTGTCAGGGCAGTGGCTTGGATATCTCTTAATGACGATAATGCTTCCTTCGTTAGGTAGTTTGCCAGAAAATAAAATCAATTTTATATATTTTGGATATTATATCTATAGTAAACTTCTTTGCTCATACACATATAGTAAAGTAGGCTCATCAAAATCAATATGAAAACGTTACGTGATATATAAGTGAATTTTCAAACATATCAATGAGTGATAGTTAACGATTTAACATACATATATATATATATATATAGTGCATCAATGGACCAGACATGTATGATATGGAATTGGGATATAACAAAGAATTCTGTGGAATGTATACATATCTGCAAAGGACACAGAAGAAGCATTGAAGCAGTCAGTATTAATTACGATAAAACGTTAATGGCAACTGGTGCTTGGGATAATATGCTATATATTTGGTCAACATGTAAGTATACTAGTATAAGAAATTGACTATTTTTTTCAAATTTCAATATATATATTTTTGAAAAATTAAAATTATAGTGTCCCATAACTTTCTTATGATTCTTTTATTTTAAAAATATATTATTTTAATAAAAAAAAAGGAAAATTAGAAATTAGAATATATGAATACGGATATAATTTGATAGCAAAAGGTGAAATATTAATTCAATCAAGACAAATCTTTCTTGCTTTCTTAAGCTACACATGAGGATGACAATGATGGAGAATCCGCGTCGAAAAGAGCAAGATCGGAATACGCAAATAAAACGAAGGTATGCAGATTAAATTAATTAAATTATAAAGTTCATCTCACTACATCTCGATCCAATTGCTTGATAGACATTCTGATATTGTCAATCATACTACTAAAATTTTTTTAATGCATTCTTATTAGTAAACACCGATTAATATTAAAAAATTTATGAAGAAAAGTATTATCGATTGTTTTACACGTTCGTGCGAATGTTTTAATATTCGTTTTACACGTAGACGCCGAAATGCGCGATGAAAGGACACAAGCAAGCGATCAGCGCGATCGTGTGGTCCGACAAAACGGAAATCATTACAGGCTCATGGGATCATACTATAAAAACTTGGGATACCGAATTAAACGGCATTAAACAGGAAATATATGGTGACAAGTGTTTCTTTGACATTGATTATTCGCCATTGTCACGAGTCGTGATAGCGGGATCAGCAGACCAACATGTGAGGCTGTATGATCCGAGGTCTACAGGTACTTTTTGTTGATTTTTTCAAATTTTTCAATCTTTGAAAATCAAAATTATTTAAATTATGAATTTTATTGATAAAATTGAATATTAAATTTTAGATTAGAAAAATTTCTTATTGAATTTCCTATTAATTTGATGTGCATTAGCATAAGCAAGTATATCAAACTTATTCATTTACTTACGATTATGCATTTCAGAAGGTACGATTGTGAAAGCTAGATTTACCTCTCACACGCAATGGGTGACGTCAGTACGCTGGTCGACCATAGACGAACACCTCTTTATTTCAGGAGCATATGATAATATCGTCAAGCTCTGGGACACGAGAAGGTTGTTTGCAGATTAAAATATCTATTAGCAAACTATTCTCAAGTACTATGTTAAAAGAATATGGGAATTTTTGTGAAATTTCATTCGGTTACAAACCTGTTATCTTAGTATTAAATTATAGATTTATTACTGGATGAAATTATCTTCAAATTAAAATTACAATCAGATCCAGATATTTATTGCAATTGAAAATCCAAAAGATGGTAATGTTATTCAATATAAAATTTATTAAAATTAACTTTTCCTTTTTAGCCCCAAGGCACCGCTGTTTGATCTCCTGGGACACGAAGACAAAGTCCTCAGCTGCGATTGGTCCAATCCTAAATTGATAATGTCCGGTGGTGCAGACAATACACTAAGGATATTCAAATCCAACCACGTAGAGCGTTAATTACAAATAGAATTTGTTATAAAATATTGTTCTGTCGCTAACAAAACGATCTTCTCCCGTTTCATAAGATAATGTGCATAAATTTGTCATATTGATAGTTAATAAAATTTAAATTAGAAAATTAACAAAAATAGATTATTACGCAAAAGGCGTCTCAATCACTTTTTGTGATGACTGTAATTTTTATCTTTCGCGTTTGAGAATCTTTTTCTTAGTTTGCACTAAATGATGTGCTTTTTTATATCATTGGAAATGAAAATATATTGACGAGTCCATCGAGAAATCGACTTTATATTCAATCATATAATATCGTATGTGAAGAATATAAAGACCTGATCGATGGTACGAATATGACAATCCATTTCTTATAATAATAAAAAAAATAAAATTGAAAATACTAACAGATTAATACTAAAGGATCTTAACAAAAACGTGCTTTTTCATTTTTTTCCCGTATTAGTAGCCGTTCTCTCCTTTCTTCTCTTCCTGGATTTCTTTCTTCAAGAACTACGTACGCGAGATGGGTGAAGTAAGAGTCGTGTCGCTCGGCATAAATCCCCAAAAACAGATCGTTTATTGATCAAAAATAAGGGATGATAATCGTGACGAATCCGGGAACTCGCTCTTCCCGCGCATCGCGAATTATTTAATTATTTACCAAACCGTTTCTTCATTACTCGTAAGTAACTCTAAAAAGACCACCGATTCAAGTGCACGCCCCTATAGTAGAGACACACATAGGGTGTTTCGCGGTAATAATACAGGAGCAGCGGAGAGCGTGCATACTCTCCGCGATAGCGCACGCACATTTTTTCCCTTTTTTTTTCTTTCTGTACAACTGTGTGTTTTTTGTATGTGTGTATGTCTGTATGTATTCCTTATAAGCGTGTGCTGTGTGTAAAATAGGCAGATGACGATTCTTCGAGAGTACACGTTATCTTCTTTTTTCTTCGAAGTTACGCACACACCTACGTACACACATGCGCACACTCTCTTCCTCTCGCTCGTACACTTTCGTCGGCCCCTCTCTTTTCTATCTCTCCCTCTTTCTCGTCGCACGATTGTTTTTTTAAATCCTTTTTCCTTTTTTCTTTTTTTTTTTCATTTGTGTTTGCCTGTTTATTCTCGAAGATCCTATCTAAAAAAACCCCCACATTACTATCTTTCGTTCTCTTTCTCTCTCTCGCTCTCTCTCTCTCTCTCGCTCTCTCACACACAAAGACTAGCGTTTTTTTTAAACGATCCAAAATAAACTAAGGGCACTTTTTAGTGGCTTATGCCCCTTGTGTCGTCAACGTCACGTGTGTTACGTTCCTTATTTTTTTTTTTCTTTACGTTCCTCTTATCTCGAGCTTTTTTCATTCATTTTTTTTTTAATTTTTTTAATTTACTTTATTCATGAAAAATCTAATTCTGACTTGTTTCTTGTGTTAAACTTTGTTTTATTACAGCACCTATTCGACTTCCTAAGAGTCTCCCTAGATCTCTTAACTAACTATGACACAACTTGCCTTAACGTCTAAAAATTTTTTCTTCACATTACATACTAAACGCCTTCTTTTCACCTCTGCCTTAAAAGTACTCTCGAAATTCTACAAATTGATCCTCGCGCGCGGATTTAAAAAGAGACCTCAGCGTCCGACGACATCGTCCCCCCTTGTTTCTTTTGCTCTTATCTCTTTCTCTCTCGTTGACCTTGGAAAGATAAGCAATACGCACGGGGTACGCGTCTCTCGTTCCATCGTAGAATTATATTACAAATTCCGCTTCCTTCGTCGGTTCGTTTGCCGTCGAACACGAAGGACGAGCAGAGTGCAAATGCAAAAAGAAAGGAGGGACCGGGGGGGGGAGCGGGAGCACGGAGATGCATCGGAGGAGGAAGAGAAGGAAGTGTGGAGGAAGAAACTCAAGATGTCTCGAGTAATTACTGCTAAGTCGCTTAACAAACACGTGTAAAACAATGACTTAAAAACTTGGAAAGCTAAGGACTGTACAAGTCGAAGTACAAGACGATGATCTAGTGTCACCTCGGACCTCGCTTTATCGCTTTATCGCTAATTCACTCTTTCTCTCTTTCTCTCTATCTCATACATACAAACATACATATTCGCTTTCATTCTCTTAAGCCGATTTCGACTAACGTTATTTTATTCTTAAAAACATTCTATATTTTTTACGCCTCGCTTCTCGTTCAATCAGTTTTTCGCTCCCTCTCTCGTCTCCTTTTCTACAATCAGCCTATCAACTACAGTACGCCTAATCTAAAAAGTGTCTACGCGCGAAAAACTCTAGAGAAAGCTTTACGGAAAGCAGCATTGTCTGCAACGGCAAGAACCGTTTTCCTGCCTGAAACTTGTTGGCGGCCAGGCTGCGAAGGCTCGACAGTTCTCGCGGCGAAAAGTTCTTAGAATTGTTAGAGGCAAAGAATCGTATAGGAAAAAAAAATTCGTATGATTTTTCGCGTCTAACGTCCACGTGGGAGGATCCCCCGAATGGCCAGAGTCGGAAGGAATCGTTTCCGTGCGTTTCCGGTCTTCGGATTGAGGGTAATTCTACCGCGGAAACCCTACAAGCCTCCGGTATCCTATCGAGTTCAAAGAGCCCACATCCGGCCAGCCCACGCACCCGACCCGCGGTGCGCAGCAAGCAAATAGTTCCTTACTATTTATACAATTATACAAGTAGTTCATACATATATATATATATATATATATATATATATGCTGTAGAATAATA